TTCCCCGTCAAGGGAGCCTGGGTTTCAGCAATGGAGTTAAGAAAGCACTCTATTCGGCCCATTAAGATGCTGTCACACTCTTAGAAGGTTTAATATTTACTTCAGTTTTTACCATTGTCATTTTAGCATACAAATATTTAATACTGTTTTAACTATCATATTCAATACTTGATTTTAACATTGTTTTTGACATTGTTTTTTAATGCCTAAATGTGTATGTTCTTATTCTGATGTTTGTACATTTCTGGTGCTGGCTGTAAATAAATATTATTATTATTGGGGGGAGGGGGACTTCCCAGGCTCCCTTTCCTGTCATTTTAGGCATTGTTTGTCCTTATATCCTTCATTAAGACCTGGATTAAAAGGATCAGAGTTAAGATACCACTTTTTCTGTGATCCTTTCCCTGAAGGACAGGAAGGGAAGGAGAAAAAGAAGCTAAAACTCTCCAAGCCCCCTATAATGATGCCACCAGTTTGTAATGGATTGTAAAGGAGCCACCACTTTGTAAGGACTTACTAAATTGATAACACAACTAATGGCTTGTAATATCGAATTGGTCTTTCTTCAATATGTAGCATGGCTAAACTTGGAAGTATTTGTAACAGAGACTTGGCTTTAGAAGAAACTGTAACAAGTTTATTGAAATATAGAAGAAGCTTGATGGGTTCAATGTTTCTTGACTCTTAGAGGCACATTTCTTCAGTAGTTGCATTTAATACATTTCATAAAACAACTCTTAAGAGGACTATTCCTTTCACTAAACAGGTTTTGAACTTATTTTCCTTCAAAATGTGTTTCTTTCTTTAACAGATTACTTCAGGTACAAGCTTATTCTTTCCTTATGTTATTTCTGTTGCAGTAAAGATTCTTATTAGGGTTATCTCCCCTTTCGCTCATACACTGACTAATAATATAAATAAGTCAACTCGACCTATCTAAACTACACAGGCTAAAAGCCAAAACCTTCCTGATTCTCAACACAGTAGAATCAGCCTTTCCCTGTAGTTCTTAGACTACAGACCACCTTTCTGGTTCTCAACACACAACAGAACCAGCCTCTCCTGTAGTTCGCTGACTATAGACTGTTTTAAAATGGCTGCCCAAGTGGCAGTTGGCTCCGCCCCTTTTTCTGTGGCAACCCAGCTCAAGGTGAGCTAAGCTGGCTACCATCCTCCCCAGTTATGCTAGTTTAAATACTTACCCTTTTAAATACCTATCTATAATTATACATAACTGCAGATTAAAATTCACACTTCACCACACCTCCAAAGGTGCACACCCCATCCACCCACCCTCCTGTCCCACACGTCCCCAACTCCCGGTCAGTCCCACTAAATAAAAAGTATCAAGAAAATAAAGGAAAATCAAAAAGATTCAACTGTGATGCTGAATAGGGGAGGAGGAGCCACAATCAGTTCTTGTGTGGTCCTGTTACGGATGGAAAACTGTGACGGCTGGTCCCTGTGCTGTTACAGCCTTCCAAAGAAGCCAAAGGAAATGGCTAAAAACTTATTTGCGCTCAAGACTACTAATTGCATTACTTCACCTACCAGAATCAATATGGCTGTGAAAACAAAGTGCCAGGGGACTTGAGCCAGGCAGATCCTACTGCATGTCCTGGTTGTGTAGATCTAGTTATTGGAAGAGAATGCCAAACTAGTTAGACATTTTTGATTTCATCTCATGTGGCTCTTTATTCGATCTCGTGAGGTGCTTCTGTTTTAAGTATGATAGCCCAAAGGCGTTTAGTGATCATTAGCCGATAGCAGATTGATATAATTGTAAAATAATGTTTTAACATTTGTACTAAGAGTTTTGAATTTTGAAAAAGATTTAAAGTTTATTATGCGATAAAGGCAGAATATAAATTAGATAGATGATAGAATTACTTGGATTTTTGGGTAATATGGTATGTCTAAGTTGCAACATCCATAATTTTGGCTACTGTATTTTGAGTAAGATGAAGCTTTCAAACCATTGTAAAGGATACCCCCCCCCCCCCAATATAATATACTACAGCAATCCGATGTGAATATTTTTATACCCTGAACCATCCAGATAATGGGGAAAAGATATTAGAGAAACACTTCTAACCAGAACATTTAAATCTTAAACTTGAGTGGGTCTTCTACTAGCCATTTTTAGTATAGTGATACAGCAGTATTAATGATATATAGGCAGCCCTCCACTTATGAACAAAATAGGTTCTATAGGTTTGTTGTTAAGTTGAAGTTGTTTGTAAGTTGAAACAGGAACATTTTTCAAGTTTAATTCCAGCCACACACACACACACACACACACACACATGTATATGTGTGTGTGTGTATATATATATATATATATATATATATATATATATATATATATATATGCTTTGGATAGCACACGGAAGGGTGAACAAACACCACTGTGGCATTTGTATTGCTGTCTGTGCCCCTGTTTAGAAGGTTTTTCTTGCACATTCTCTTCCTGTGATAATTGGATTGTGGAAACAAGGATTGGTGATAAAGTTGCGAAACTTTTTCTCCATGAAAACTCTTTTATGAGAGAATTACCCTTCCTTGGGGTAGATTTCTCACACTTCCTGGTGCCTCATGCCTGTTCTTAAGTATGTGTTGTTTGTAAGTTGGAAATGTGTAACTTGACAACTGCCTGTATATAGCCATTTGGTCGAACTGAGTCCCTAAATGAGCTATAAGACCTATGTAGGGAAGAACACAAAAGAGTATTTAGGCATAGGAGCAGCTATGTGATGATTAGGAGCAAAAGTATGGCTGTCAGACATATCACATTCTTTATTAATGTTAACTCATGCTTGTAAGTGACAAAAAAGAAACATATCTACCTAAGTTTAAAATGTAATGTGTGAATCAACTGCCATATTATTGCTAAATCGTAACTATGTATGTCTTACAATATTTAAGAAAAGCTGGAACCTCTCTTTCTGTCTCAGATATGCATAAACAGAGAATAGGGCAGGAGAGTTTTAAAAAATTATTTCCATAATTATGTGTTAACTGAGTAAAAACCAATAAACATCTATTCATCCATCTTGCTGTAAAAATATGCATCAGAATGGAATATATCCAAACTGAGTAACAGATAGTCCATGTGTCTGACTGAGAGAATGTTGTCTTGAAATTCTAAAATGCAAGCAAGACATAAATATTGAAAACTGAATGCAGTTCCTTTGACATCCTGTAGATGTTAGAGCAGTGTTCTCCTTCGCATCAATAAGCTGTGCATCTGTAGCTCAAGGGCAATAAGTGGCCCTCATCTTGTAGAACATGAAAATAATTGAGACAACTGTCAGGATCTTAACTTTTAGTTGTATTTTAACATGTTCTAGCATGCCATGTCAAAAAGATTTCTTATTGGGAAAAGCAATGCAGTCATATACACAACACAAGCTGAACAAGTCTTTGTCTTTGATTTCTTCCCACCATCTCCCACCATCTCCTTATTTTCAGCTGATTCAGCTTTTACTATTTTGAGTATGTCTTCACTGACCTGCAGGGAATATCACTTTGAAGATGCTTGCAAAGCATGTGACTATTTGTTAAATGGTTTCCACCCGCTTTTTCCATATTGAAATAAATGCAATGTTTTAATATTGATGAATTACACAAGTGGGTGTTTATTTGTATTTTTTGGCCCCTTCCACACAGCTGTATAAAATCCACATTGAACTGGATTATATAGCAGCATGTACTCAGATAATCCAGTCCAAAGCATTGAGGATTATCTGCCTTGGTATTCTGGGTTATACGGCTGTGTGAAAGGGCCCTTTGTTTCCCAGAAAAGGCTATTAAAACACAAAAACAGAGTTTTTATTGAGGTATAATCCAACTTATTATAGCATAATACTTACTGAACTAATCCTAAAGCCGAATCCAGCTAAAGTTATTTGAGACAATGCTGACAACTCTCTATTCTCTACCTCTGAAATAAATCACATTGCATGGAAAGTGAAATCTAAATAAACATTTGATAAAACTCACTAGAATCAGTGGGGTGAATTTGTCACAATTTATGGGTTAACTGATCTAAGTTCAGTATTCCAAATATATTTGTAGATTTGAAAAAAACATATGGCGCTGACTGTGCTACTAAGGTCACGTTCTCACAATTGTGATTTGGTCATTCCTTTCTTCCAACATTAAAGTTGAGAACAGAGAAAATGGGTTTCTGACCTTTTCAGTAAGCTATAATATATATGTGCCATTCACTACTGGGAACTTGGATTTCTTTATCTACCAAATGCTTCGAACAGGATTTAATCATGATTATATTTGAATGGATGATAGCCTATGGTATGTGATGTACGGAGCTACTTACACTCAAGAGAAATGGGAAATGTTCCATACCTTGCAGTGTGCTTGTATTGTATGGACATGTGTTATGCAATTTACATTCATTTAGGAAGCTATAACATTCCTGTCCCAGCAAAATTTATAATACATTCAATGACTGAGAACAATTTATATGTACACTAAAATGGAGAGACTAAATGAAGAAGTATAGGAGTGTGGAAGCCATACCAGCAAGAGTTAAAAAAAAGAAGCAGATTGGAGAGACATGTAGCCAAAGTACACTAATCTTTTCAAATAGTTCTTTGAAACATATTCAAATAATCATACATTTAAGAGTATGAACTGTATTACATCAAAGTACTAGATAGGTGTGTATGTGCATGTGACCCATCAAATGGAGCATTTGGAAAACTTGAAACTGACTTGTAGTTATCCTTCTTTTAAAGACCTAGCATATTCCATCCTTTTAGGTTGGTTATCAATCAGATTTACATCTTTTTCTATTATTTTTGTTTTTAGTTGAAATATCCTTTAGCTAAAATATGCTCCCTTTCTCAACTGCATTATCTAAGACAATTTTCCTGAAGGTAATATGGAAAATATCCACCAAACTTGTTCATTCTTCACTTACTAATGTCAAAATGTAGGAGAGGTCTCTAACAACATATTTCTTATTTGTCAAACAGATATTATTTTAAATTTCCGAACAACATATGTCAGCAAGTCTGGCCAAGTAATATTTGAAGCAAGATCTATTTGTATCCACTATGTGACCACATGGTTTATCATTGATTTAATTGCTGCACTTCCTTTTGATCTTCTTTATGCTTTTAATGTCAATGTGGTAAGTACAGTCTTTCAGTTCTACTAGAAGTAGTTATACCAAGCTATTTCTTTTTGCAAATGAACATTTTACTCTAAAAGTGCTAACTACACTATGTGTGCACTGTACTCAAATACAGCATCAAGTCAATTTCAAGTCTGTGGAATGTTTTAACTCAGGTATGGGCAAACCCAGGCCTGGGGGGCAGATGCAGTCCCTTGGGCTCTTTTCTCAAGCCCTCTTCTGTCTCATCATCCTATCCTTCCTTCTTCTCACTTTCCTTCCTCCTTCCATCCTTCCCTTCCTTCTCTCCCCCTTTCTCCTTCCTTCCCTTCCACCATTTCATCCTTCCTTCCCTCTTTCCTCCTTCCTTCGCTCTCTCCTTCTTTCCTTTTTTCCCTTTTGTCTTTCTGTTCTTCTCTTTCCTCCCTCCTTCCCTTCCTCCATTTCCTCCCACCCTTCCTTCTTTCCATCCATCCTTCTCTTGCTTCCTTCCTCCCTTCCTTCTCTTTTTACTTCTTCCTTTCCTCCTGGGAGATATTTAGCTGGGAGAAGCAAAGTTAGAGAGGGAACATGAGAACCATGTTTCATGATTTGAAAGGGTGTCCCATTGAGGAGGAGGGGGAAACTAACTTTCTGCTACTCTAGAGACCAGGGTACAAGGGAGCAATGGCTTCAAATGGCAGGAAAAGTGATTTGACTGAAAAGATTAGGAAGAACTTCCTGGAGAGTGGCATAGGTTGCCTCGGGAGTGTGGTGGTGTCTCCTTCCGCTAAGGCTGTCTGTTAGGACAATGTTCAGGATGTCAAGCTGACCCCTGACTAAATGAGACACTATCTCAAAACCATCCAAATGTTCACAAGATCATATAAACATTTCATTTAAAAAGGACCTCAATACATTGATTTTAAAATGTTATCAGATTTTGCTTTTGAAATTTCCCACAGTTGCAGTTAAATAATATTACACAAAACTTTGAAAGATCAATTACTGATCATCATTTCTTGGGATAATGTTAAGGATGTCAAACTGACCGATGATTAAATGAGCCACTATAGAAAACAATCCAAACGTTCAGAAAATCATACAAAAATTCCATTTAAAAAAGGCCTTTACACTGACTTTCAAACATTATCATATTTTGTTTTTTAAAACCCATGAATACATTTAAATAATACTATCACATGGACTTTGAAACAGTATGCCCTTACTTTGCCTAAGCGCAAGATGTTTGCCCACTATCCGCATGATGTTGACTCAGCACTGTGATCCACTATATGCAGGAAGATAATGCAACCTTTTCCCCTCTAATGCTTTAAATACTCCCCTGTATCAAAAGATCTTCATGTACGATATAACAAAGTCCATTCAGTCAGAAAATTATTCTGCCTTGGGCCACCATTAACGTTTTGCATGCATATTAAAGATTCATGAAGTCTGGATTTTAGTTTTGAAATATTTCAAAGAGGTAAAAGCCATATGAAATGCTGAGTTTTTATATTAGCAGTGCTATATATAGGGCAAGGGGGACCACAATGCATTCTTATTTTTTAAGATAGTGGTGGCTAGTAGGCCTGGGTAACAACGGAAAAATTTGTTTCTAAAATCGATTTGTATTTGGGGGGTTTTTTTGTTTCGATATTTAAAATAATTACAAAATTTTCCTTTTAAAAAGTTCGATATTTACGAAATTTCGTAAATGGTAAAAAATTAACGAATCGATTTCCGAAACAATAACGAATCGATTCGTTAATGGCGGACGCGACCGCGAAATACGCTAAAAAACCTCCAAAACCTTCTGAAGCTTCCCTCTCCCTCTGTTGTTGACTGTTGGTGTGATATTATAATTTTTTTTCACTAATTAAACCATAAAACTGGCCCAGACATGCGGAAATATAACGAAACGACCTCAAAACAATAACGAAACGAATACAATATCGAAATACGAAGCATTTACAAAACGTTTTTGAAAATTCGTTTTTTTTAATAATTGCTCCAGAATGGTTCGTTATCGTTTTGTAATTGAAAAATTAACGAATTATTAACGAATTACGAATTAACGAAACGAAACCGCCCAGCCCTAGAAGCTAATTCTGTGATACCTACATTCATTATCAACATGATTTTGTTAGTTACTTTATACATATGCATGTATAAAGCTTTACATTACACATTAACACATTTGAGCTTTACATTACACATTAAGTTAAGAGAGATGTTATAACAAAAATTTAATACACATAAGCTGATTTCTAATGGCCAAAGTTCAATTGCTAGCCTCAGCTAGGTTAGATCTAGTGACTGAATTGAAACATGCCCGATCTTATTTAGGTTTTTCATGAACAGTTTGTTCTTTCTGCTTACAATTGGTATCCATTGCCTTGTCCTCCTACATTGGCTAGTCCTAAAACAAGCAGAAGAATAAATGAAGTAGCCTAGAGCATGGGTTCTCAAACGTTTTCAGCTGCGGAGCCCTTTTTGAAGGAAAAGTTTCTCGTGGAGCCCCAAGACATGTTTATATATTATATCAGGCATGAGCAAACTTTTGGACACAGGGGCCACATTGCATTTTAAAATTTGACAGATGGGCTTGGTCAGTGGCAGATGGATGAAAAATGTTTGTGTGAAAAAAAAACATGAACAAATTCCTATGCACACTGCACATTTCTAATTTGTAGTGCAAAAAAGAAAAAGAAAGAATGAACAATACAATATTTAAGATGAAGAACAATTTAAACCAGCATAAACTTAACAGCATTTCAGTGAATGACTCCAGGGCCATCCAGTCCAACCCCCTTCTGCCATGCAGGAAAAGGGTTCTGGAAGCAAGGAAGGTGCAGGGGGAAAGGGTCTGCATGGCAGGGAAGGGAAGCGGAGGAAAGGAAGCGGGGGAGGGATGGAAAGAGGGAGGGGAAGGGGAAGGAAGAGATGGAAGGAGCAACCAGCTGACTGATGCCTCTTTCCCCACCGCCATGCACTTCGAGGGGGAGAGGGAGGAGGGAGAGGAGGAGGGAAATGTGGAGCCCCTGGCTGTGCTTCATGGAGCCCTCAGGGCTCTGCGTAGCACAGTTTGAGAACCACTGGCTTAGAAGAAAGCCATCAGCAGGACACTGATAGTGAAGTTCAGGAGAATCTTCACTGCAATTTAATGACATGCATTATCATATAAAATATAGATGTATGTGTTTAATACAGGAGCCATTTCAGTGTGGCAGCCATTTCAAATGTACGGTAATGGACAATGCAGGTATTATAATCTAAAGCAGAAGTGTCAGACTTGTAGCCCTCCCAGGTGTTTTGGATTCCAACTTCGAGAAGCACTAGCCAGCTTGTCCAATGGCCAGGGGTTCTGGGAGTCCAAAACATCTGGAGAGTCACAAGTTTGACATCATTTCCTAAAGGCATCAGATTCTGATGTGATCACAGAAACTAAGTACTGTCAATTCTGGATAATACTTGCATGGGAATACCAGGTACTGTGCTCTATATTTCAGAGAAAGGAGCTGGCAAAACTACCCCTGAGTATTCTTTGATGAAAACTGTATGAAATTCATAGGGTTGCCATAAGTTGACAGGTGATTTGAAGGCACTTATATATATACACTAATGACCTCATCAGATGGGCCGCTGGAATTATCACACATCGTGGCAAATCTGGCAGAGGGGAGCATGGGGAACCAGTTGCTACATGCCCCTTATCACCTGACTCACCCAAGTCCCCATCCAATGGGGGAAGTGTCAATAACCCAGCTTCCCCCAGTTGACTTCTATTCAACACGGGGAGCCTCTGGTGCTACCTCCGTAGCAGCATGCACCAATTTGCCTATACTTTTATGATGGAACCCTACCAGAAGTTGCTCTATATCATGGGATGAGAGCCAGTGGGCTCCATCGTACAGGTATAAGCAAATCGCCACATGCCACTGAAAAGGATCTCATGTAATGAGGTCATTAATCATTCATGTGCTTCCCAGTTTTTTGTTGTAATGTTGTATAACAATTGTACAAAAGCTCTGGTCTCTGAGGAAGAAAGCAAGAAGCCAAACAAGCTGCGTTACACTTTAGCCCTAGTAACTGGTGAGACCCCTTGTCTCCCTGTGCCAGATGCCATTCCTCTGGTTTGTGAGGGAGATAAAAATCTGACATTATTTCCCCAAGATATCCTCCAGAATTTCACTGATGAAAACCTGTGTAGTCCAAATGACACATGTGTAGTCCAAATGGCAAAAGTAAAGGTGTGCAGGCAGAAATGGATGTTATGATTTGAAGAGCAACATCAAAATTAAAAAATTAAATGTGCAAATGTGAAAAAAGGAAAGATTTTGATTTGACAAAATATAAACGTTACATGGAAACCTCGCAAAGTGTTTCACCACATAAATAGCCTTTTTTAAGATGATAAATTACTGGAGAAAATGCATGCAACAAAAAGTCATCTTAATATATAGGCAGATATTTATTTTTTTTAGGTTTGGTGAGGTTTGGTTTATATAACATAAGCATTTTTATTTCATTCGCTATTTTGTCAGTGTTTTGACTAGGAGTGGTTGGCCTTGTATGTGGTGTGAGCATATAGGCAATACTTTTTATCACTATAATCTATGGAAAACTCATATTAGCAGCTGGCTTATATTAACCATTAACAGTCTTGCCATATTTCTTTTTCTTTCAATTCAGTCTGCCCCTTTTTATCTAAGCAAAATTAATTCATATACTGAATAAAAATGTATCCTTATGTTGAAGATTATGGGTTCCATCAAAATAATACTGACTATGCACAGCTATAGCTTAAACAATATTTTAATGCAAAGCAAGGAATGCAAATCCTTGTGATATTTTGATAGAAATGTAAAGTACCCGAGGTTGTACAAGATCAAATCAAATTTATCCTCCACTTTTTGAAAAGTATGCCATAAATGAGAAAAATCAGATTAAAAAAATAAAAATTAAACACAATGAACCTGGTAATGGTCCAAATGAGCAGGGGCGGCTCAACCCATTATGCAAAGTAAGCATTTGCAGTATAGTTGATTTTGCCCAGGGGCGCTCTTGAGGCGCTCTTGGGGGAAAATAGACCTTGACATATGCTAGGTTGTAGTTACTGGGATGTATAGTTCACCTACAATCAAAGAGCATTCTGAACTCCACCAATGATGGAATTGAACCAAATATGGCACACAAAACTCCCACGACGAACAGAAAATATATATCAGTGAATGGTTGGGGGGGGGGGGGATACTGTTTGCTTACCGTTGAAAATTACCTAGGGCTGCCTCTGCAAATGAGTGACATATTGAAATTGTTTGGGGGTTTTTTTCAAACAGATCCTGGGAAATTAGAGCCTCCTTATAGGGGTAGCAACTGCTATCAAGTAGAATGGTTAGCAGTTTACAAGATTAGTGAAAGATTTCAGGATGATATATAGCTTTGTATGCTTACAGATTCCACCTTCCAAACAATCAAACAAAAATCCATCAGCTAACTCTAGGTTTGCCATACCCCAGTAAAGACATTTTTTAAAAAATCATCTAATAAATTATACTTTCGTCATTTCATGAATGAAAATGGGGGCACATGTAGTCAACCAATATCAGAGTATGATCAATATGGTTAAAGTTATTAAGGAAAAATAATAAACAAGTTAAGAAAGGCTGCATGAGTTTGCTTTTGCCTAAGCCTACTGGGAAGGATGAAATTCCAACTCTTCTCTCCTCTCCTCTCCTCCCTTCTGAGTTAATGTAGTACAAACTACTTTTACACTTTGAACTTTGATTGCAGCAATTCAGGCAAGCTGAGGACCAAAGGTGGATGTGAGAAGAGGAGAGAGACACTGAGACATTTTTAAAGCAGATGAAAAGTTGGACAACTGAGGATTAATTGGAACTGGGACAAAAGAAAGAAAGAAAGAAAGAAAGAAAGAAAGAAAGAAGGAAGGAAGGAAGGAAGGAAGGAAGGATGGATGGATCTGCCTTTTGCTCTCATGTATTTCTGATTTGAGTAACACATACACTGCAGGGTTCAATAGCTGACAGAAGTAAAACAAGCCCAATTATGTTTGGAAAGGCCACTGAATCTTCTTTTGCCTTCTTATTGTTCTAGGTGTCCATTGTCCATCTTCTCAAAACAGTACGATTGCTGCGTCTTTTACGTCTCCTTCAAAAGTTGGATCGTTATTCCCAGCATAGCACTATTGTTCTGACACTTCTTATGTCTATGTTTGCACTGCTAGCTCATTGGATGGCTTGCATTTGGTATGTCATTGGAAGGAAGGAAATGGAAAAAAAACCATTCACATGGGACATAGGTAAAGGCTGCTCCTTGTATATATTTTTTGTATTCACTGAAAAAATGCTCTTTAAGAAATCAGCCTGTTGTAACTCTTTATGTGGATTAATTAAATGCTATATCCTTAAATATGTGTCTCATTGACATTGTTGCAATTACACTATATAGGCAGATTGCAGTAATTAAGTCCCATGAATCTAGTCCCCCCTCAAGAATAAGCAACCATAGGTTTACTATTCTGATACTTATATTAATAATACTGAATAAATATGTGGGAGATTTATTTATTCTACATTTTAAATAAGGTATTAAAATACACCTGCAACTGGAAACATTTTTGCGGCCTGCCTACTTATCTTGAGCCTCTCCCTCCCTCTGTAGCCAACATCAGAAAAAACATTTGTGGAATCCCATAAAGGATTCCACAGGAATCCCTTAGGAAGTGATATGTGTAAGCAAAACAAATTCAGAAAAAAACTTATATAAAGTTCTTAGACTATGTCCAGAACTTAATTTTAGAAGTGAAATTGCCCAGCTTTTTTGGATTACCTTAGACCCTTTGGTGGCTCTATGGAGCCCCCAGTGACGCAGTGGGCTGAACCTTTGTGCTGGCAGTACTGAAGACCAAGAAGCCACAAGTTTGAATGTGGGGAGAGCATGGATGAGCGCCCTCTGTCAGTTCCAGCTCTCCATGTGGGGACATGAGAGAAACTTCCCACAAGGATGGCAAAACATCAAAACATCCGGGCATGCCCTGGGCAACATCCTTGCAGGCTGCCAATTCTCTCACACCATAAGTAACTTGCAGTTTCTCAAGTCGTTCCTGACACAGGAAAAATAGATTTTCCTAGGATCTAGAAACTTAGGAAGTGATTTCAATATGCATTAATTTGCAATAATTGAACCATTATACAAATCTTCCACCAGAGGTGAGATGAGAGCACAAATATGCCTGTTTCTTTTTAAGCACTTAATTGTTTTGCAGAAAATTAAACCATGCATGAATCTTTGACTTTGTATTTAATGCTGAAATAATTAGCACCTTAATTGTCATCAGAGATATCCTTAATATCCTTGCAAAGTAATGGAAAATATTGATTCTTGAGGTAAATGAACTTGGGTAAGAGTGCAACAGTTGTTGTGTTAAACACTCTCGTTGTAATTAGATGTCAAACATCAGTCAGCCAAAGTTAAAGAGCAAACCCAGTAGGTGAGCCATATAATGGAACTGAGTCTCTTTAGCGAAAAAGTTTTGTAACATTATAAAATGAGTAATTTGCCAGGCTAAGAAACTGTCAAATAGTTCCTAAATTTGAAAATATGAAAACCAAGAACTTGTCATAGCTATTTAAACTGAATCCTTTGATTCTTAGAACTTGGGCTCTAGAGATTTAGAGATCCAGATTGCTTTCTTTTCACATTCACTGTTTGACTGATTTTGCATTTATTTAGAGAAAAAAGCTTCAAGAGCACAGTTGTAAATATAGGAGAGGGTGAAGGAGGCCAGGGCCAGGCAGAAAGGGGCACACAAAAGCATGAGGTAGTGTGATGTGATGGTTAAAGCCTTAACATCTCATAAATTCATGTTTTTCTCCGCTTATTGGCACTGCCCACACACTGCTGGCACGGACTCCGCAGAAGACCATCAAATGATGCAGGGCTACTTCTAGTAGGGCTCTGTGCCTGCAGGATGCCAGCAGTACTGAGAAGTAGAGCCCAGAGGAGCTGGGTGTACACTCGACTCTTCATACAAGAAGTCAGGAGGAAGCGGTAGAAAGCCAGGGACAGCACGGAAATGTTGTGGAATGGGATCCCATGACCACTGATGGTATGGGGGGGAAGAATTATGCTAACCCATGGTTTCCCCCACTGTCACTCAGCTTCTTAACTTACATGTGATGAGGTCCTTGGGTTACAACTCTGGATTCAAATCCCTATTCAACCATGGAAACCCATTGGGTGATCACGAGCAAGTCACAATCTTTCAGCTTCAGAGAAAGAAAAAGGCCAAGAGACTTTTGAATACATCTTAGCTAGCAGTAAAAACTATTCTGGGGATGATCCAAAATGTAACTATTTGAATTGGCCCCTTCATTTTATTGGCTAAGCCAAAATCTATTTATTTGTTCATGTCTTCCCTTGGGCATTATTCCTTTTCTTCTTAGAATCATAGAGTTGGAAGACACCACATGGGCCATCAAATCCAGCCCCCTCCTATGCAGGAAAAGCACAAAGTACCCCTGAGAGACAGCCATCCAGTCTCTGTTTAAAAGTTTCCAAAGAAGAAGCTTCCACCACACTCTGAGGCAGAGAGTTCCACTGTTGAACAGTTAGTATGGTCAGGAAGTTCTTCCTAATTTTCAGGTGGAATCTCTTTTCATGTAATTTGAACCCGTTGCTCCTAGTTCTAGTTTCAAGGGCAGAAGAAAACAAGTCTGCTCCCTCTTCCTTATGACACCGTTTCACATATTTATATATCTCTTCTGCAGGTTAAACATACCCAGTTTTTTAAGACACTCCTCATAGGACATGGTCTCCAGAACTTTGATCATTTTAGTCGCCCTCCTCTGGACACCTTCCAGCTTGTCAATTTCTCTTTTGAACTGTGGTGCCCAGAATTGGACACAATATTCCAGGTGAGGTCTAACCAAAGCAGAATACAAAGGCACCACGACTTCCTCCTCCATGACATAGTGGAAAGTGTTTTTCGGGTAGCTCAGACAAAGCTACCTGTACATTTCCTCTTCTTTTCCTCATGATGGAGAAAGACTGGCGGAGTGACATGCATTGCTGGTCTTTCACACACATGATGAGGCAGGGACAGAGCACCAACACTTCTTGTTCCATCCCCGGGAGGGAGGGCACACAGGGTGCCCCAAGCCACCCCACATGCCTTCCGTTTCGCAGGCAACTGCTGACAAAATGGCATGGGCCCGGGGACCATGTGAAGAGGTGGTAAGACTGGGGTGGGAACCAAGAAAAAGGCTTGAGGATAATAGTTGAGGATTTTAAAATCTCACATTTTTCCCCTTGTATTTTCAAGTATTCTTTCCACTTCTAGCCTGCAGGATTACAATCAGTCTCCCCAGTTGGTTGGAGATCATTTTCCCATTCTAAGTACATTTATATGGGGCTCAAAGAAGTAAGCTTCATTGAGCTCAATGAGATTGTTTCTGAGTAGACATACATAGGATAGCATTATTCAAATACACTGTTGCATTTGAATAATGTTGCATCAGCGAAAATCCTCAAAACAGCCACTAGGCTAAACACTTCACTATAATCACTATCATTATATTCTTGATATTCTGAAAGCATTGACAGAGAAATTTTAATGGCTGAATTTTCCCCAGAATTGGTGGCAGTGGAATCTGAAGCATTATCATTCCCTTCATTAATTCTTCTGCAGTCACCAGTAATTCTTTTCAGCAATTCCGGGGATGAATTTTGAATATATCCTTGAGGGCATGCACTTCTGTTTCTAGGTTAAAAATCAAGTTCCATCCCTACCATGATAATTAGGAAGCATAACTAGCAAAGTTAGAGATACCATCCAAAACAACTTATGTTTAAGTTTGGTATAATATTCTGTCTGTATATCTGGTTTTTCGTGGTTTTTAATCTGTATGTATTTTAATAATTTGTCAGCTACCTAGTTCCATTATTAGTAAATGAGAGGAGAAGGAAAAAATAGCCAACATGGGGGAAACAGAAAGAAATAAAAAACAAAAAATCACTGCACAATACAAATAACACAGGAAAATAATGTGAGTAGCAATATTCAAAACTGTCAAAATGGGAGTATTATAGAGTTAAGAGCTAAGAAAAAAGAAAGAAACATAACAATAATTGTAGGTAGAGTTCTGCTGTTTTTTCCAGTTTTTTAAAACTTAGGGTACATCTACATACACCATTTAGCCCAGGGCTGATATGAAATGGTGTAATGGGCAGCCACTCTTACCATCGCCACCTTGTTGCCATTGTAGCAGTGACCATAATGGAGCATAAAATTGTTCTCCATTGCTGACACTTACCAAAGCACCATTTGACTTGGAGTGGGCAGGGGTATCTCCCCCACCCTCCACTCCATCCTTCTTCTCTCTAAGTCATGCTGGTACTTTGACAAGAATCAGCAATGGTGATAAGCAATAATCAGGAACAATTTTATGCTCTGTGGTCTCTGCTGTGATGACAACAATATGGCAACAATAAATGCCATTCCCTGTCCCTGGGCTGCCAAGCCTGGGAAAAGTGTGATGACTATGTAAATAGTGTTGGCTGGTTCTCAGTCTTAACTGGCTCAACTGTTTACGCTGCTCCAAAGTGCGGGGAAGCTCCAGTGCTTTGGAAAATCATGTGGATGCCACAGAGTCCATTCACTCCCACTCCACTTTATTTTGTCCATTTAGACAAGCCCTTAGTTATTATATTAGAACAAATTTCTAATTTACAATCAGTTACTACATTAGAATAGAAATATACATAATAAATGAAAAGATCTTGTAAATAAGACATCTTGAAGCTTGGCATTGTAAAATTATTTATAGAAATCAACCATAGCAATATTTGCAATATGCACAGAAAATTAAAATAACAGATAATATTAAATAAAAATACAAATAACTTTAAAAATAAGCCTAAATGAGAGGAATGAACCTGGTGTGCTGCTATCAATTTATTAATGTTCAGGGGTTTTTTTTATCAACAGCATGATTTACATTTTTTAAATGTTTATTGCACTTGCAGTATTATAAACTGCTTGTCACACAATTCAGAAACAATCTAAATCAGATTTTATACATGTCACCTATTTGTAGTATTGTATTGTCATCCTTGAAGGAGCTGGGGATGACGACGGCTGACATGGAACTCTGGCATGAACTGGTCCATGATGTCATGAAGAGTCAAAAGCGACTAAATGAATAAACAACAAAACTGTGAACAACTCATTACATGCACATATTCCTACCAATGCATGCTGAACTTAGTGACAATGTGTGACACACTCACCTATCAACG